TAATGAGTGGGAGCCCACCAATGAAGGAATGCGCAACACTTCAAATGTCTCTGCCCATTTGTTAACGTCGAATGTGTCTTTAACTTGTTAAGTGTTCCAGGCTTGAAGAAATTGTACTGGCGTTAGTTAGCATAATTTTATATGTTCTGTTGATCATAGTGCAATTTTCCTTTCTTCATAGTCTCACCCCACCAAATACAGTGACGCGAGATGTACAGCAGCTGTCAAAAGTGTTCGCCGAAACGGTTTTCCGTGCTTTTTTTGCCAAAAAAATCAATGGTGACCTCGAAATTTTTCTTTGAATATCCTGATTCTTCAAGGCTTGAGGATATAAAAACACTAGAAAACATAGTATATCAATCTTTGGAGGGCGTTGCTCAAGCGAGAAAAAATAATGCACTAAAAATCGTTTCGGCGAACACTTTTGACCGCTACTGTATGTCAGAAGGAAGTTGATTTTATTTAGCGTGTTCTCGAATTTAGTTCTATTTTTTTCTTGTGGATTCTCATCTTTTACTTATTTTAGCTGTACCATTTGTTATCTGTTGAACTAGATTTAATTTCTTTTCCTGTTGAAGTTATCTCGGGCACATCCACAGAAGTTGCTGGGTGGGAACGCGTCTTCAGCGCATCAGATCTAGTTCGCAATGATGTCTGTGGGGTGAAAAATCACGTTTCCTCTAGGAATAATTGAGAAATGGCCAGCTAGCCATTTCGCTCTCAGTAGTAGCAGCATAATAATTCAACTCATTGCGGACCGGCCATTGTATGGACCTTCGTATCTTTTTTATGTTTTTCAAAACGAATCATCATTAATCTATCAACAATTTTATCAGTGATGACACGTATGGTTTCCCGGCTCTGAAAATGAGTGCAAACAGTTCAGGAGCATTGAAAAATGTCAAATAAATCAGATAAAACTATGCTCTTTCGTGCGAAATCGTGCGCCACATGGTGGCGCACGCGGTACGCAATGTGTTAAGTAGGTCGAGGCGTGTCAAATTAGATTCACTGTACTAGCTAGTATTTAATTGAGCAGTTGTAGTCAAGTGATCAACTTATTCAGTCAGGAAATTATTCATCTCGTTTGACTAGCAAGTTACGCATGATGCGTCCCTCGTGCTTGCATACGCATAGAAGTTGGCGGATTGCGCAATTCGCTAACCGCTAAGTGAAACTTATTCACAATGGCTAATTTGTCAAATACCGTTTCACTGTATTCTGGCAGTGACTCAGCCATGCAGGCACCTTTAGATACAAAAGCGCCTAGGGAGGCGATACCCTCACACAGTCGTGGATGTGTAGATCCATGTTTTTGAAGAGTTGTTGTGAAGTATTTGTTTAATTTTTATTCCACTGCTTGCAGGTATGATAGATGGGGTTGTGCAGAATACGGTTCTTTTTTTCACCGTTGAGAAAGCTACGGTTTCTAATGAATTGTTGTTGGCTTTTGTTATGTTGTTTTACGTTGTTTTCCAATGAAGTTATTAACACATGGACGTGTTTATTCGTTTGGAATGGAGTCCTCCCATTCTACCTTATGGTATCGAGGAACTGTGCAACACCAAGAGAAAAATATCAAGAAGCATTTGTACACGCTTTTTTTGCCAACAGAAATTTTTCAGTTATCCGTTCGTGGCAAAAACAAGAAAGAAGTGGTGGAATCGTTATGGAAGCGACTAACACAATCGGCAGATGAAGTTCTTCTCTCTGGGCAGGTTTGAGAGTTTCTTCTCTTTCTGTAGGCTCTAATTTTGTGAAGGATTCAATTATTGTTAGAAATTGGGGAACTAAGTGGCGATTAAAGGACATAAAGGCGGGAAGTCGATGTATGAACTGGAATCCGACTGGTAAATAGAGGCCAGGGAAATAGGTATAGTGCTAGTTATTTGATGGAATGCTTTCTATTGCCAACTAATCCTTATTTTTTAGTTATATCAAGGGTGTATGCATGAAAGATTGTCAAAGCCCTGGAAAATTCGGATCCCAGGTTGGGAACGGGAGAGGAATCTGCGTTATGTTTGTTCCAATGAAACAACTTTCAACTCTAATCCCAGTCAATTTCGGAGAGTCTAAGGCTAGCCGATGCAGACTGTCGAATCGGAATTAGCTACAGCGTATTCGCGCGATTCGTAAGCGTCGCGTCGCGTTTGCGTGTGCAGCGAATCGAGGATTGCTCTGGCGGCGACGCGACGCAGAAGCTAGCGAATCGCGCGCGATTCGCAAAGTCTGACATCAGCCTAATCGTGTCTAAATGTGGTGATGATGGGTAGTTGTCTCTTTTTCGCATCGTTTCCGTCGTTTAAAACGCTTGTAACGCACTATTTGGCGTCAGTGCCATGCTACTTTTGACTTACCTCTTCAACCTCCAACCTGCTGAGAGGAGAAGTTTACGGGTCGCTTCTTTATTCCCCGTGTTGTTCTACGCTATCTCTCGCCTCTCACCTATGACGTGCTGTTGCGCGCATAACCTGTTTGGATCATTCTTGTTCCGATACCCTTCGCGGTGCGTATAATACCAAAGGGCAGAAGTATTTTTGGAGTTATGACAGCGTACAATTGCTTAAGGCTGCTTTCATAGTTCGCATCGGTGCGGTCGGTGCCGACGGTGCCGACGGCGCCGACGGCGCCGACCGCACCGACAGTGTGAAGAGCGTCAACACGCGCTCTGGCGCATGACGCGTGCGCTGGGCGCAGATGGGGCGCTCCGGTCGATAATCTTGGTTTTGGTGTATTTCTTGTATTTTTTCGATGTTTTTTGCACTCACTTCATATGAATAAACAAAATTGCTTACGACCAACACACCCGGTATGGCCACATCCACCCGGAGTTGTGCGACGGGTTCACGACGTCGCTCGCCCGCGGAACAACTGGAAAGTATTAATCAAGACATAAAAGGGCGCAATGTGGCTCGGAGGGGGGGCAGCCGCCGCGCGGGGCGTTGCGGCAACAGGAAATTCGCAAGCCAGGGGGAGTGTAGCCAATTCAGGGGGGGTGGGGGTGAGGGCAGTCACTTAGCATGCGTGAGAAGCTGAAATGTCCCGTGAAAAGCTGGAATGTTCGAGTTACACTACATCGCTGAGCCGCGCACCGACTTCCCCCCCCCCCCCCGCCACATTGCGCCCATAAAAGAATAAGTATGAACAGGAAACACACGAATTAAAGCAACACGGCGCGAAAAAAAAAACATCGAAAAGCACAAGAAATACACCAAAACCAGGATTATCGATCGGAGCACGCGATCTGCGCCCAACGTTCGCGTCATGCGCCAGAGCGCGTATTGACGCTCTTCACACTGTCGGTGCGGTCGGCGGCGCCGTCGGCACCGACCGCACCGATGCGAACTATGAAAGCAGCCTAACTCCATGGAGTCGAACGTAATCTGTTTTGTTAGATTTGTCGAATATTCTCTGTTCGGTATCACTTATAGTCTTCTTTTTTTATTAATACCTAAAATGTAACTTGCCATGTTGTGAAATAATATGTGAGTTACTGCATCGTAGTGAAAATTTCGAAATGTTGACAGTATATAATTTTTCGAGGCTTTTAGAGGGATGTGGACGACTTCTTCGAGAATGAGCGCAATTATCTCGTGGAGTACAATACTCACATAAAGGACGCTGCAGCGAAAGCCGAAAAGGTCGTGAAGTTACGGAAGAGTGAGTATTTAAACCTATCTTTTCTAGCTCATGAAGACATCGTTACTTTTCGGAAACCCAGGAATTGGATCAGGTTATCCAGAGATTTCCTCACATGGAAAAGGTTGGCCCAGATCCCAGATGATCTGTTTTAGTGCTTGCAGACGTACTGAGTTAGCGAACTAGCTTTTAATCTCGTAGCCGGAGTGCATACTCAGTTGCTTGATTTTCTTTCTGCGTTTTGCACAATGCTCCTACACGAACGGTCGGCTTCAAAACTTCGTTACTCATTTATATGTAACTCCGCCAACCCAATAATTCTGCTGGTGAAGCAGAAGATGCATAGCTGAGGGCACGCTCTCTCAATCCACGGTTACCTCTACTCAGGGTTCCCTCCTTTTATTCGAAGATGATCCACACTCCAACCACCCCGTGACTGGCAATCTCGATGCTCTATCCGGCGCCATTGAAAAGGAATCTGAACAAAGTGAGCGCTATTTGTCAGAGCGCTTTTGGTGTGACAAGGTGAGAGTACTGAGACATCTCGATAAAGTCGCTAAGGTTTGAAAATATGGAGTTTGTCTCTCACATGCTCTGAGCCCGAATCAGCTCTAAACCCGATCTGACATCATCATGTTCTATCAGTTTCCCATAGTTCCTTCCAACCATACCGCATCCAGCATACTTCTTCATTACAACCGATTAGCATTTTCCAGTCCACCAGTGATGTGGACTGGGTGCAGTGTGCTAACAAATCCACAAGCCGCAGTAGCTTAGCTTAAACGATTCGGGAGTTCTGACAGCAAAAGCCCAACTCCCTCTGAATTGAACTTCCTGAGTCGTTGGCGGAATACGAGAGGGGTTTGCGCTGGGAACCGATACGAATAATACCAGTGTCAGTGTTCAAACTGAAAGCAAAATAAGACAAAATCTATTTTTTTCTGAGGTCGTTCGAGCCCATGCTTGCTAAAAAAATTCCTAAAAAATTGGAGACTCTCGGGCGGTCAGTTCTTTTAGCTCCGCCTTGTAGCACTAATCCTTGCGTCAACGAACGACTATCCGCTCTCCTCTCTCAATCACCTTCTGGAGAAGAAATCTCACTTGAATCACCATAATGTCAAAATCGACATCCAATTTTTCTTCGATCAGAACTCTATGAAATTCTACAAGAGAGACACTGAATACCCTACCCTCGCATTGGCGATATGTTGGTAATAATGGTGATGTATACTATGCTGAATAAATACATCAGAGAAATAAGATAAGTAATTAAATCGAAAAACACCAAAGGTTCTCAAAAATTATGGACCGACCTAATATTTTTTTCAATGCTTGAAATGATTTGTCGTACAGATGAAAGAGTACTCCGAATTGTTGGTGTCGTACTTATTTTCTCTTATTTCCTTTTTTTCCATTTTTTTCTTATTTTTGATGAACTTCCTTTTTTTGATTTTTTGCTTCCTTATGACCTTTAATATTATTTTGAACGATTT